ACATTGAACCAATCAAAACTCGAAGTAATTACATGTGGCTGACGCAAAGCGCGGGAAAATGCATGCGAGCGCGTCACAATTGGCTTTGGTTTTACTTCTGATTGGATGAAAAGGTGGCGCGAATCTTTTAAGCCAATCGCATCGTGTAGAAAGTGCAAAACCAATTACTTTTCGACACTCAAATGAAAACCGCTCTATTAGACTCTTAAAAATGTTTAAGAAATCTGGTACAAAAATGCTTAAAGCTTTTAAACTTTTGCAACATGCAAAACAATGGAAACGTCCAACTTCCGCTGGAAACATGGAAATTTCCAACGTCATTGTGTTTGGACGGCCTTCAATCTTACTAGCCATGGATTTTTCACGCAACGTAAAACGACCATGGAAATTTCCAACGTCATTTTATTCAAAATGAAAGAACCATGGAAATTTTCAACGTCGCCTAGGAAAATCATGTTACCATCAATTCACGCGTACGTTACTAAATAATGTCTGACGAAACTAACTTTCGTTCTTGTTATAACAAAGATCGGAATTACTATAGATATTTGCTACCGTTTGCAAGTAAAGAACAATCACTCAATTATCGCTTGGAATACGTGTAAAGTTCCTTGAAAGTCTGTTTTTGAAAAGTTAATAATCTTTGGTTGTCCGAACGACAGCTCGTCCGTTTGTTGTTGTCGTCGCGTGCAAATTCCACTAACATACCACACACTTTTATTTTATTTTATTTTATTTTTTTTTTTTTCACTACATCTATTCATTTTTTAACTTGCCAAGGCTGCCAGTCCGTGATCCTTTCCAATGATAAAGCAGTCTCGGAAAAAGTCACACTTTTCACCTTCCTCTACCACTAAGTTTTTTTTCTGTAGCCCTGTATGTTCGAAAACTGCTACAAATACGTTCTCTTAAGAGTCACTTATGCAAGGGGACAGCAGAGGACCAGCTTAAACCTGCATACGAAAAAAGATGCAACCATGAATAACTATTCCTCCCAAGGATAACTTGAAAAGGTCAGTTTTTTTCTAATGGCTTACAGGAAAACAGAAGTATGGCGTAATCATATCTCTTTTGAACAATTTCAGAAACTAAGTTGGTATTTTTTAAAATGGCTCATCGAACAAAGGGTAGCTGACTTACTTGTCGATGATAATTTTGCGTATTCCTCATCGTTAGTAGTGGAGCATAACCCATGTCATCCCGCGCGCAATGTCCAACAACTTACTCTCAAAGCTACTACTGCCACAAGCGCTGAAAGTAAAAGAACCTCTTTCTTTCCTGCCTGAAAGTGAACAGTACAGCTCAAACACATCGCTGATGTTTGGATTACGTGATTCTGCAATAGCTTCGGCAGTTAACCGGATCAAAGAGAACACTCGTCGCTGCACTTCAAAAGTGTGCCCCGGGCTCTTCTTCTTTTCCGCTTCTTAATTCCGATCAAAATAAACAGATCGTTTGTGACATTCTTTGCGGGACCTCTTTTCAAATTCTTCCTCTGAGTTCTTAGAGAATTTTTCTTTTTGTCTCCATAATCAAGACGTTTCAGATGAATTTACACTACTGAATCAACGTTCGTATGTCTGTCATTTGACCTCATTTCAGATCTGCCTTTCAATCAACTTCTTAAATTTCCTGGGCGGCTTCTTTAAAAAAAAAAAAACCGCAAAATGCACGCGAAATGCACGCAATTATAAAACCCCGGGGGGGGGACTCCGCATATGAATGGGGTTGGGATGCTCGTCGGAAATTTTGAATTAAAGGAGACCTATCTGGGCGTGGCCCAAGCTTTTTTTTTGTTCCCTAAAAGAGACCACGTTATAGGTTACATTTTCATATTTTTTCGCGTGCAACCCTAAACGAGACCTTCACGGCTAAATATGATGGCGTTTTGCCCAGAACACCCTAAGTGGGACCAACATCCGAAATTTACACTCCTAAGCGAGACGACGAGCATCCCCAACACCTTCATATGCGGAGTCCCTCCCCCGGGTATAAAACGTGCTTACTTAAATATCGTTTAGGGCATCAAAGAAACAAAGGAAAAGAAAGAAAAAGAAAAAAGAAGAATATTGGAACAGACCCTATTTGGAATATTGGAATATTGGAATATTGGAACTCGTCTAAACCATTTGTATAATCCGTCTGCGAATTAGTGCACAAAAGCTCCTTCTAATATCCTGCAGAGTCGCAAGGACATATGTGAGCGTTTCTGATAGCATGTGATAGGCGGGCTTCTTACTGGTTTCTTATGCGCCTCACGATTGGCCTAAGGGGTGGACCATTTGATTTTTGATGGGGGGGGCGGGGTGTGTGCAAATCCCAAAAAAAATATCGAGCATATGTTTCTGGTTAAAAAAAAATTTCTTGCAGAATTCTTAAGAAGAACAGAGGCTTAAAGGACCACTTGATGGCATGTTCGTGACGACGAGGATCATACACGCAGAAAAAAACAAAACCATAATATCAAAAGCCATTTTTCCGGTTTTCTGACATTGTGGTTATCTTATCTTGCACACGGAGTGAAAGAAACATAATATGTTTATTGCTTTCTGTCAGGGACTCACGGTTATCACATTGTGCGCTTCAGTGTGCCCTTTGTTATTCGTTGAAAGAGAAAGGCCCGCGACTTTCCAGGGGCACCCAACGGCAATTTTCGGGAAAATATCTGTTCGGAAGACGATTTGAGAACTAGAATTTTCGGAACATTTGTTGTAAAATTTCTTGCTTGCCTGCCTCTCCTAGGATTTTCGAACATCGACAAAATGGTATAATTACCCATTTTAAACGTATATTTACCCTAAAAAAGGCCACCTAGAATTTTCGGGAGCCTTTTCCTGGCTAAAATTTTCGAAAAGGTAAGTTTTGATCCCTATAATTTTCGGATCACTAGACTTTCAGCTAGGAAATCCGAACAGATGAAAAGTTTTTAGGGGATAAAAATATGCCTATATCTACCTTTTAAATACTAAAATACGTTCAACAAATCTATGTTAAGTGGTTTTGAACTATATCCTCGTTGGGTGCCCCTGACTTTCAAACTTTGAAAAGAAACGTATGAGAGCGATGGAATCAAGGCGGCCCTCCGGCGGTAGCGAGTGGTTTACTATTCAGTAGGAGAACTGTACCGATCGTTTTTGAGAGGCCACATTGATCAAATTCTGTTCGAGAAATGTGAAATTGATGAGTGACAGAGGAAAATCTCGACGTCAGATGGCATACAGCTAAGAAACAAAGTGGTATTGGTAGAAGACCGAAGATGCAATGCTGGTAAGGTTTTTATTCGAGGCGGTCAAGCAACTGTTTGTTGAGAAATGGTTAAAATTACGACTTCACGGCTCGATCAGATCAGAAAGACACAAGACTGAAGGTAAAGCAATGTTCAGCGACTCGATTTTGTTTTATTGACAAATACCTTACAGAGAGAGAGAGAGAAAAAAAAAAGGTGATTTTTGTCCATATTTCGTTTTCTAGATTGAGGTTGCCAATGCATGGGGACATCGGTTTGCTGTTGAATTCATAGACCGTTCTAGCCTGCAGTGCAGGCGTATTTTGGGTGGACTATTGTTGTAGCCGCCATCTTTGATTTTATGACTGAGTGGAAGATTGGGGAGAGAAGAAATAGTAACCAACATTTGCGCGCCCGAAGAAAACGCCTGCACTGTTACTTGTTACAAATAACTTCGGCTTAGCAGCGTTTTAAAAAGCAATGAATTTTTAGCAAACCATTTTCAGAGTCTTTGCTACTGAAGGTCGGCATTTACAGCAGCTATAAGGTGAGCATTAATCAGTCAGATTCAGTACAGTAGAACCCCCGTAACTCGATCCCTGAAGGGAACTAAAAACAGTTCGAGTTAGCGGGGGTTTAACGGGGTCGATCGCAAAATTCAATTTACCATATTAAAAATTTAATTTGTCAGCACTTCAGTGTTTTGTGCAGTGCAAATTTAACTTATTTTATGAGAAACGGTAACATGACTAGGCATGGCATTTCATATATAAAACGTGATCTGTTCGTTGCACTAATTAAAATCAAATTGATTTAGTGTTGACCAGTGTTAGTTTTAGTGTTTTCACCGTTTACACTGAAAGAAGAGCTACTGGGATGGCATCCGAGCGGAGTTACAAGAACCAGAATTCGAGTTATCGGAGTAAATTTCAGTAAAAATTTTTGATCAGGGGAAATGACATTTAGTTCGAGTTAGAGGGGAACCCCACTTCGAGTTATCGGGGTTCTACTGTTGATGCTAATTATAACTAGCCTACGTAGCAGGCGTCGTTCTCTCTTTCACCCACTACTTCCATGCGCCTGCTACGCAAGCAAAATTATGGCTAGCTTGTGTCTTTGCTCACCCACACATCCAGTCACGCATTTTTTCACAGATGTTTTTATTACGAGGTGCATCATCTTGGAGATGTATACGGTCGTCATCTGCACTTGGAACGAAAACGTCTATGTCTGACAAGTCCAGCGTCTCATAGATCTGTCTTGTCATCTCTTCAAACAATTTTTGGACGTTTTCGCCAGTTTTTGCGCTCGTTTCGATATATTGCACTTGAAGTTTTCTGGCATATTGCTCCGCCTCTAATCTGGTAACTTGACGAACTTTTTCATCAACTTTGTTTCCCACCAAAATAATGCTCGTGGTATCGGCTTTGTCAGCGTCAAGGAGCTTTAGCATCTTTGGGATGCCTACTAACAAAGAATCTCTTCTTTGTATGTCGAACACGAGCAAGATGCCTTCTACGTTCCGTGCGAAACTTGGAGGAATACTATGAAACTTTTCTTGTCCCGCGGTGTCAATAATCTGCAAACGGTAGTCCTTACCACCCAAACTGATGTCTTTGAAGTATAATTCTTGGCCAACGGTAGAGATTTCGGTTTCGCACTCTTTCTGAGGGTAGCTGCTACATGCAAATCGCTTGATAACACAAGTCTTTCCGGTACTAGAGGCTCCAAGGGCTATAACTTTTAACTTTGGAGGCGAGTGAGGCTTTGATCGTCGAAAAATTTCCTCCCTTTTCTGATGTTTTGACAGCTCTCTTTGAAGACAGTTGACAACTTCCTCGGCGTTTGGTCTCTGGTCGCTGTGGTCTTCAATACAATTTAGCACGAGTCTGCTCAATTTGTGGTCACCCATCTTACTGATGTCCCCCTTGCGACGCATTTTTTCTGGAATACGTTGACCATCTGTTATTTAAAAAGCAAAATCAGATACGTTCTTAGCCAATCTTTACTCGTGTTGAGGACGAGAAACCATAGGTTACGAAAATGGACTGATGCGCGCACAGGGAGCTAAGAAGGGAGACCTCCGACCCATGCACCCTTTCCCAGGAACGGTTCGGACGCAAGGAATTCAGCTACGGAGCAGAATAACACGGAAAACGAAGCTTCGACGAGTACCACGCGATACGAACCTTCTAAAGAGGTTGAAACACTAAGAAAATGTCTTAAACAGCGCAGAAAAAGAAGCAGCTGATATGAATTACGACGACCACACGAGATTTATAATCAATGCCGTTTTTGGTTGACTGTAGAATGGACGTTTTGGCTGGTTGAGTTCTTCATAATTTTCTAACCATTTACGAATGCAAAAGAAGTATCATCGTTTATTTCATAAGTTTGAGAAATATTGACCAGTCCTCCAGCAATTAACTTGTCATTGAAATGTTAACACGTCAAGTTCTCATCACGGATGTCAGCGTGAGCTTATAAGGGCCATTTATACGACGAAAAATAAGACGCGTCTTAAATAAGACGCGAACTGTACCATTTATACGAGCATGTCTTATCTAATAAGACGTGTCTTAGCAAAGCCGCGTCTTATTTTAGACGAAATGTGCCGTTTATACGGAAAGTTCGCGTCTTATTTAAGACGCGTCTTATGTAAGACGCGTCTTATTTTTCCTCGTATAAATGGCCCTATTATGTCGCTTTTGTAAAAAAATATTAGCCTGCGCAGCAGGCGTCGAAAGGGGAAGGGGGTAGGGGATAGGGAGGAAGGGAAAAGGGGAGGGGGATTTAACTTCGATCGCCAAATGGAGTAACACGAGCCTTCCGCGAAGAGAAATAAAGACGTTTCCGAGGAAAATGCGCCGCGTGCGATCGGGGAAGAACAGTCGAATAGATTCTCAAGGAGATCCCTCAAGTTCGCAGTTCGCGTCATAATCTTGTCGACATAGCTTCTTATAATGTACGAGACGAAATATCGCTATTGGTAGAGTTAATATTCCGCGGAGGAAAAATGTCTAACTTTAGCACCTTATGCGACAGACTATTCAGTTTGAATGTATTCCTGTTGAACTTGTTGTCTTTTTTATAAGGTATGTCTGCTCAAAATCCTGTACCTTTTGAACGTCGGTTTATAAGCTTATCGCTTTGTAGAGGTGACCGTAGTTTATCCGCATTGCCTGCGTTCAGCTGTGCGTTGCAGCCGGCCCATGCACTCGTCTAAACCATTTGTATAATCCGTCTGCGAATTAGTGCACAAAAGCTCCTTCTAATATCCTGCAGAGTCGCAAGGACATATGTAAGCGTTTCTGATAGCATGTGATAGGCGGGCTTCTTACTGGTTTCTTATGCGCCTCACGATTGGCCTAAGGGGTGGACCATTTGATTTTTGATGGGGGGGGCGGGGTGTGTGCAAATCCCAAAAAAAATATCGAGCATATGTTTCTGGTTAAAAAAAAATTTCTTGCAGAATTCTTAAGAAGGAAAAAAAAATCGAGCAACCTTAACCTGGGCGTGGCAAAGGATTTTGCGTGATGCGTGACGGCCCCAAAAGTAGCTGTGAGTCACATGATACAGGACTGGGCATCACATTTTTTGATGCGTGAATTAGTATTTTGCAAGCGCGACGCATGATTTACCAATTAGATTTCCTATTAAAGTGAACCCTCTGATCTAGAAGGATATTATGATTCAAAGATATTCATGCATTCAGATTCCCACCCTAAGAGTTGTCACGTGCAGGTATTTTTGTAATAAAATAAGATTTACTTTATAGAAAAGGAAATGAGACAAACAAGAGTAAAGGCAGGCCACGTTGAATTTGTGCAGGGTTCAAAATATACAAAGAATGTGAAACGGATGCGCTGGATATGTGCACGAGACAAAAGACGATCAAATAGATCGAAGAGCATTTTTTCCCTCTGGGTCATTCGTGTTTTTGCAGAGTTCTATTACTTTAGTGTTCATTGCCTATTTTCAAGCCAAGAAAATAATAGTAAACAGTCTGTAGCACATAAATTAAAACGTAATTGTTTTAATTATTTAGGCATTGAAATATTGTAGTTTTATAGATCATGTACCTATATAAAAGATGATTCAAAGGGGTCAACTACCAATCTGATTTTCTCACCTATTGACAACTGTAGTGACAAATGTTTATTTAACAATGTCTTTAATAAACCACAAGCTGGCAGAAATTGTCTATATTTATCCATCAAGAACAATTGAGCCTTAAGAATAATAACAGTTTAAAATTTTCTTTATATTAATGAACAAGGTTGTCTTCAACATCCTGTACATCTGCATATCTAGCCAAATTTAAATGTAAGGTGCAAAGCTTTAATAGCTATTTGCAACATTCTCATCTCCAGAGGGTGCAATCCTTTTGGTCAGCACCTGGAATTGATACCCCTGGCTAGTCCCAATTTTTGAGCATGTGCAGAGCACTCATTCTGCAGTTTTCAGGCAATCAGATTTGTCAGATTTGAAGAGCTAGTGCATTAAATGTGGACTTCCGGTAGTGGCTTTGCAGAGCAGCCAGAAGAAGGGGGAAAGAGGTCCTTTACAAAGAGACAGTTTGTGGTTGGCGTCCCTCTTTTTCTACCAATTTCAAGTGAATACTTCGCTCAGAGGGGCATCATCACAGATGCCTCTCAGATTCCTTTCTTTGTGCTGATGAAAGGAGAAAGGTATGTATATTCTGATGGAATACTTTGATATATTAAGCATATTCAATGGGATAACACTCCCTTTCTGCTTTTATCTTAAGTCGCAGATGTACATGTATGTACTACATCATATTGCTAAAAATATCAGCAATGATTTTCTCTTTTCCTTTTCTCAAGATTTAGTTTGATGAGAATGACGTTTTATAATAGCCAGCATTATCGTGGAGCAGTGAAGAGGGGTGATCAAGCCTGGTACTCCTATGATATCGATGGGCTGTGGGAACGGAACTGTCCTGGTACCGGCCTTCAAAAAGGACCATTGACAACACCTGCAGGTTATATCCCCTCCAGCTGCTTCTACGTCCACTCGAAATTCGTCTAAACTGGTAAAATCTACAGTGAGGTCCCCATTTCTTGAACCCTCCTTTTTTTTTAAACTCTAGATAACTCCAAATATTAAATGCGTATATTGAGAAGCCAGATTACGGTGCAATTTCTCCTTCTTTGAAGTCCCTCTCTCTTGCTTTGAAAGCAAAAAACAGGATTCAAATAAGATGGAATTTCCAGCTCGCCCTTTGGACAAGTTGGAACCATTACACGCAAGTTTGAAAGCTTTTCTCAGTAGCATTACGTAATTAGAAAGAAAAAAAGGTTCACTTGTTCAGTGGGCAAGTGATCTGTTGGGCAAGTACAGAGAGTGATGCATATAACATCCACTAGCCTGACAGGGAAATCAACTAGCCGCAGGTTAGTGGAGATGCATTTCTTTGTACACTGAATAAAAATGAAACTCTTTATTACTTTGAAAGAAAGATGTAAACTTAAAAATGCATTGCGTGTAAAGGTGGTTTTTAATAGCCTAAAGGGTGAATTTTGAGTGGCTGGTGATGGTCAAGTTAAGTTTAAAAACTTCAAAATTTGTGTTTTAAACTTCAAAATTTGTGTTTTAAATTTCCATTAAAAAAAATATCATGCAAGGACAGGGAGATTAAAAAAAAAATCCTGCAGGGCTGGAGCAATAAAAAAAAATATCTAGCAGTCTAAAAATCCTGCAACCCCCCCCCATCAAAAATCAAATGGTCCACCCCTAATTCTAACGGGTGTGTGACGGTTGGGCGTAGTGACTGGACGTTAAAATTCACAGACGGGAGTTGGCAAGGATCGTTTACCGTAAACAATGAAAGAGCAATTCGAACTTTAAAGCCTTCTTCTGAACAAAAAAATGTTTTGAGAGAATTCCTTCAAGGCCAGAACTTGCTTATAAAATTTGTCGACTAATTTTCCAGCGTCTTCTAATCGCTGCACACAGATGCACTGCCGCGTATTCTGCAATCTAGCCGACAGTTCTAACGTCAAAACAAATCAGGAAATCATGATATTCACGGCCAAAAAAAGAACTACACACATGTAGCTATTCAGGTCCAGGCAATTTCGGAGAAGCTCTATACAGAAGGTTTAGAGCGTCCGCGATACAGGCAACGTTTACCACAGGAGAGAACATATGCTTCTTTTTCTTTTTGCAACAGATCACAGGCATATTTTTTTGCTCTTCTTGGAGCCGAGGAATAAGCGAAAAGTCTCGCAAAGAAATTTGTATTGCTTGCTCGAAATCCGTGTTTTCAAACTTTCCGAATTGTAGAAGCTGACCATTGAAAGAGTGCGATACTGTCAACAGCACCGAAAGTCTGTCAACATGAACATTGAAGACATTTGACCAATCAGAGAATCTGATATCATGGAACGGCGGCATCAAAGGCATGTCTTCAATAAAATAATAATAATCCATTTATATTGCGCCTTTTCTACAAGATTCAGAGGCGCTGTTTACAAAAAATTAGATAGAAGTAAAAAGTAAAAATAATCGCAAGAAATTGACATTAAAACTAGACGCTAACTACAAAATAGATAAATGTACACAATAGATAAAAAATCAGATAACAAATAAAAACGTCACGATTCATAAGCTCGCCTAAAAAGAAATGTTTTAAGTTTGCGTTTAAAATCATCAATTGAGTTTGCAGATTTAATATCCTCAGGTAAGTTATTCCAAAGTTCCGGAGCAGCAACAGAAAAAGCTCGTTTACCATACGAATTGAGATTAAAATAGGGTTTAACTAATAAATTTCTGTTAGAGGATCTAAGATTGCGGCTGGGTGTATACAATTGAAGGAGTTCCTGTATATAGATTGGAGCTCGATCACGTAGTACTTTGTAAGTAATTAACATAATTTTAAATTCGATACGAAAGAAGACAGGGAGCCAGTGAAGATCCATCAGGACTGGAGTAATATGGCAAAATCTTGGACACTGGTTGACAAGGCGAGCAGCAGAATTTTGAACATGTTGAAGCTTCCGAATAAGATAGGATGGTAGGCCGTACAATAAAGAATTACAAGTCTACCCCGCCCTTTCCCCCTCCCAAGGAAACCGCTCGGCTCGCTTCGCTCGTCGACATTTTTTCCTATTTGACCCCGTTTTTTGCCTTTCTGTAAATATTTAGGTCTCCCGTCCCCAACCCCCATTTTTTTATGATCGACCATGCGCTCAGTGACTGTTATGATGAGTAGAATAAACACGTGTGCACGAGTTAGCAATGGCGTGCGTTATTGGTTAAATCCTGGTTAAATTCGAATCATCCTTGGTTAAATACGTAAAGACACGACATCCACCTTTTGAACAACTGGGGCCTGATTGGAACTTCATTATTTTGCATTATGGGATTCTGTCTTTTAGATCTTAAAGGTTCCCTGTTTCTAGGACTCGCCCTTATAGAGATTCTTAATTCAGAGATTTCCCCCTTTTTATAGCCTCTTTTTTACTCATCACACAAAAGAAAGTCGGAGTGGGAGGTTACTCTCGTTATAGATTCCCGCTTTCAGAGATTCCCCATTTTAGAGAATCCCTTTTCACCGTTCCAGATTTTCCATTTCTCCATAGACCTTTTTAGCTTGTATGTTTTTGTTTTCCCATCTCAGAGCACGTGATAATACCCAGAGAGCTGTTTCTGTTTCTTTCTGCCTCATAAATATGAACACGTTGTATGACCCCCTCAGTGAGTTTGATATCAAACTTCTTTTGCACAAATTTTACTGAGACGAAAAAATAATGTCGTTACAACGCATAACTCGACCCACTGTATCATCGAATAACGCAATACTTCCTCTCCATTTTAGCCTCCCACGCAGACCCTCTTTTGGGCTTCATCACGCGTTGGGAAGGATTGCGTGAGTAGCAAAAAGAACATATTCGAGGGAAGCAAACCCCCTTTCGCTTTCGTTTTGACGACTGCTTGCTTTGATACAAAAAAATATATACAAACCTTTATCAAGCCAGTCGGGTTCTATCTCTGGACGGCTGCTGTTTACAACTTCCATCAGTACAACTCCAAAGGAAAAAATATCGATCTTGACGCCGTAGACGACCTTTTGAGCTTGTTTTGTTGAGAATGTTTCTGGCGCAGCGTATGCCGGAGTTCCGCAGTTTGGAGATGAAAACATCTTTTGTTGTAAAGAAAAACATTTAGCGATTCCAAGGTCAGCTATCTTAGCCTGTTTATTTCTCGTCAAAAGTACATTTTTAGTTGCCAAATCTCGATGAACTATCGGAGGTTTTTGTCGGTGTAAATAAGCCAGCCCTTCTGCTACATCTAAAGCGATTGAGACTGTTTCAGGAAATGGAATCTTGCGTGGATAAAGCCTACCAATGTATTTCACCAAATCGCAATCCAAAAGTTCGGTAATAAGCACAGGAGGCGAAGTGTGTGTGATGATAAACTCCTTCAGTTGAACAACGTTCTTGTGGCTGAGTCGTTGTAGAATTTTGCACTCGTCGAGAAATTTTTGAACATGGCCGTGCGTATCATTTGAGTCGAAAAGTCCATCTCGAAGTATTTTTACTGCAACGAGCTCACCGTTCCACGACTCTCTATAGACCTTTCCGAAGTTCCCACTGCCGATTTCGTTTTTTAGGCGAAATCTAGGTAGCATTTTTAGTTTAACAATATCATCCGAACCCTTTCTTTCTTTGTCGTCAAGTTTATCATGCGGAAAAGGGCGGAAGCATTGAGGGATGCAACCGCACGCAAGCTGATCAGCGGATCCTACCTCTTACCCAGTCCCCGCTAAATCTGATGAGGTGACGGCTTAAGCGAACACTTCAGAAATCGTAAAAACAGAGGAAACTAGTCCAGTTGCGTAATCCCAGAAGTTGTCGCGGCCGCGTACGAAAGCTTTTCATTACAAAGTTTTTAAACTTAAAAGTCGTCACAGCTCAAACGGGGTTCTACAAAGGTGGTCGTAACTAGAGCTGGTCGCTTACGAGAGTGGTTGCAAGGAGAACTTCGACTGTATCACTGCTTTCTCCTTCGCTTGGAGAAAAAGAAAAAGGTACCGCGTGGGAAACGATGGGAGCTAGAGGGAAAAGAGGAAAGGAAGCTTCAGTGGAGGAGAGAGTTATCGCTGTATTATTTTTGTGCAACGTCAACGTCTCATTCTGCATTTCATGACTGTCAATACAACAAAGTTCCTCTGTGCCCGTGTGATTACAGCAGGATTAGCCTGCGTTGCAGCCGGCCCACGCATTGTCTAAACCCTTTGTATAGACCGTCTGCGAATTATTGCACAGATCCGGCTCTTTCCAGCAGGGTTGCAAGGATCATTATGTGAGCGTTTCTGATAGGCAGGTTTCTTACGCGCCTCACGATTGGCCCAATTCTTACGTGTGCGTGACGGTTGGGCGCAGTGACATGTCAAAATGAGCGTTTACAGTAAACAACGAAAGAGCAGTTCGAACTTGAAAGCCTTTTTCTGGACATAAAAAACAATGTTTTGAGAGAATTCCTTCAAGGTCAAAAAGTGTTTGTAAATTTACCGGCTGGTTTTCCAGCGTTTTCAGTCCAATCGCTTCAGATGTACTGCCGCGTATTCTGCAAAATGCAATCTAGCCGAGAGTTCTAGCGTCAAAACAAATCAGGAACTGCATGATATTCACAGACATAAAAAAAACTACACACACTGCACGTAGCTATTCACGTCCAGGCATTTCGGAGGACACCCAGGAAACTAACAAACCTCGTGGACTTAAAGCGCCAATAATAAGATTTGCTCACAAATCACACTATCACGAGCTCATTCTATCTTGTCACGAGCTACGAGTCATGTTGGACCTGTCAATACTTTATTTCAAATCGGACTAATCACAAACTGCGTAAGAAACTAGCCAATCAAAAACGCCGAGACATGTCCTTGCGACCCTGCGGGATTCAAACACGATATTGTGCCGTTATTCGCAGAAGTCCTATACAGCCCGGAGTTGGGGGCGGAGGGTACTTCCTTATAAGAGGCTACTGGGGATGCGCCGCTGGATGGGGTCGCATTTTCACGACTGGATTCATGACTGTAATGGGGTTGCATTTTCAATAGAGTTACTAGAATCTCGGGGTGGCACATTTTCGGATTTTTGGGGTAGAAAAATTTTTATGTTCATTGGGATTATAGGATTAGGAATCTTCTCATCTCTAATTTGTTATATAATCAAATTGCTTTATCCATATTGAAAACTCTATTATAACGTTCCCATTTGAAGAAGAATGCTTTCATTTTTCAACTATTTATGATTTTTTTTTTCTTTTTTCATATGCATAGTAGGTCCCGATAATGCGAGCACGGCCAAACGAAACTGACACTGCGACGAAAATGATATGTAGTTCACTGTTCAAAGTTGATAACATTTAACTGTTCATACAGGGTCTGGAAGGCCGGGGGAGGTCGTGATCCCGAATTCCCTCATTTGTTTTCACCGCTTCTGAAATTCCCCGATCCCTTTTCTCCTTTTTTTTCCTTTCCAAAAAACATACGTTAAATGATGACTAATTTTGCTACAAAAGCTAACAAATGTAAGTCGATTTAGATTGGCCCTTAAGATGCCAAGGCCATTCCATACTGAACAAATCGCTTTTTATATCTCAATATTCGACGGAAGAGCACCATTTATATTAACCGTTGAGGGTCGTCCTGTACGTGTGCGTACTGACATCTCTAGTCTAGCCTGACTATCGAACAGTTAGCATCCCGGGTTCCCTTTGGAAAGTGTGTCAAACTCTTACACAACTCGTGTTCTCTTTGAGAAAAGTCTCTTAGCTCTCTACCCTTTGTCATTTCCTCTAACGCCCCACAGTGAAGGTTTTAAACAACCTAGGTCACGTTTTTAACTGATTCTGGAATCTCTACAGCTCTTTGTGTAGCAGAATAAAAAAAAAATTCTTTGTGTGATGGCTCCGTTAGTTCTGGCGCTAGCCTGTTTCAAGTGTTCAGACAGTGGAGAGTGGTGCACAGAGAGCAGAGGAAAAAAAGGCGGAAGAAAGGAAAAAGGGAGAGAGGAGGGTTTCTTCCCCCTCTCTTCCTGCCCTCAGCACCTCTTTTATTTTTCGCCCGCTTTTCTTTGCACCGTCCCACTATCTGAACGCCTGGAATTAGGGGCTTTTCTGGCGCCAGCAGACTCGGCGGTGGCCGTAAGAAAGAACGACAGCAAAGCCATCAATGTTTTAAGGTAACCCGCGATCAGAAGTTTTTTTTTTTTTTTTGGAAGGAGAGGAAAATTTTCATTAATTAACTGTTATGCTATTGCACTCCACGTACACGTTCCTGGCATCTGGCTGAGACAGTGGGACTTTCAAATCCGAATCCCGAAAATACCCTTCCAGGCCTGTTCATAGTCTCCTATTTTCCCGTTAAATCGGCGAGACCGAGCGCTTACCGGTTTAATGGTCGGCCATCTAGGTTTCAAATGTACTGGCCACTGCAGGGCGAGGGGCAGTGCCTTTGAACATTTGCCGAGAGGGGTGCTCGATTCGGACGATCTAACGGGAAAACAGGGGACCTGAGCAACTACGCTCTTTCCCCGGAATCTTGGTTGCGGTATCTCGCCGTGTCGTACTGAAATATATAAAATTTCCTTAATTTACCTAACTTATAGGGGCAGCAAGGGTTCTCCAAGTACGGTCAACCAGGCCTCTAGAGTTGAATGCAAGTAAGACATCAAGTACCAATACGACTTAGGAATTTCAGGCTAGTTAATAAAACGGGTCTTGACGCTCATTCTTGTCGAGTTTGTTGCGGTACTTGATTCTCTTACTGCCCTTTTCACAAACATGAAGAAAAAGTTCAAAAGCCGCCTTCACAATTTCGTTTTTCGCTGCCGTCAATAATAATTACGATCACAAGCAACGAACCTTGAAACACAGAAACTCACAAAACGGATCGAAATCCACCAATCAGAAATCACAATCCATGACCTTTTGAACCCGTTAAAATAAAGTTTTGTTTCCTAAGAGGTCCGTTAAGATGATTGACGGCAGCGAAAAAAGCAATCGTCAGTTGGCTTTTGAACTTAAGAATTCGCATGTTTGTGAAAAGCACAGTAAACCTGGCCTTGAATCTTGGTGCTCAAAATTAAATTCGTTTCATACCGTTAGGCTATGGTCACACTATACCGGCGGATAGCTTTTCGTAGAGCCACGAAAAGCTATCGGGTACGTATAGTATGAACAGAAACGGCACCGGCGACACATGTCATTCACAATCTCGACCCCTGAGCTCTTCTGCGCATGACGACCGGGGAGGGAAGAGCTCTGGGGAACCCTGGAACAAGACTGTCTCTGATTGGTTCCAGGAAAAAAAACGTGTTTTTGATTGGTCCATTCAAATTTCCACGAGCGCGGGTGGACTTGCGGCGTGTCTGGCGATTCCAAGACAACAGTCAGAGTAACTGGATTCCTCAATTTTCAAATAAAATACATTAGCTACGTATCGAAAACACTTGAATGTGAAAAATAAAAATACAGCGACACCTTTGCCAGCTATAATAATTGGAAGAGAAGGAAAATTGCCATTAATTGTTCTGCTATTGCACCACGTACACTTTCCTGGCGAGTCTGGCTAAGACAGTGGGACTTCCGGTACTCCCTTTGCAATGCAAGCGGTTAGACGGCTTCGCGCGGCTCGGATGACCACGTAAAACGGCGGTCCCGTCTCCAGTTGGGGACGTAAACTGTAGTGTCCTCAATTAGAACTTTCGTGCTAAATGAATTGGCACTCAAATGAATTAAAGCGCACTTTATTTTTTTAATTTTATTCTTCGACTTCCACGTTATCGTATTCACGCAAGGCAGCCGAGTGTGAATGAAAACGTTAGCTTCATGTCGTTAATTACCCAAAAAACAGACTTGCAAGTGAAAAAGAGTCTTAACCGACGTTTCGGCAATGCTGCCTTCTTCAGGGTACAAGGCTATGTACCGTTAAAAAGTTCGTTAAATTCACCTGCCCGATTGCATACTCGCGCGCGTGCCGCATGCCAGCGCGCGAGAAAAAATGTAAGTGAAACTTTAAGTCTCGATTAAAAGTCCACTAGGACCCACAGTTCCATATTTAAAACTGATCAACCTCATCTCCTGCTTGCTGCGGTATTTCTGGTTCGCTAGACCTGCCTTCAATACAGAAACGTTCATGTCCTCCAGTGTATGATTGGCTTCAGTTGAAGTGGGTAGATACAGGAAGGTCATTTCTCCGGCCAGTAATACTGAAAAGATAATGCACTAAACTAAACATAGACTGCAAAACAGTCGGTTTTTTTCTCAGAATCAGTAAAGAAATCGGTATTAGTATTAATTCTCGTGTGTTTACGTCTCTCACTGAAACTTCGCGTAAATAAACGCTGTAGTCGTGCACAGGACGGCAGGAAGAAGAGGACGGCAAAACGCTCGTGTGTGACAAACGTTACATGGCTATTACTTTCGCGTTTTGTCGTGTTCTTCACTTGACATTAATGTTTTCTGTTTTTTTATGAAAAGATCTGTTTAAAGGAAGGTGTGGTTTTGCGGAAACTTTTTCAAACAAAATTATTGTCACACAAGGTTTGCCGTCTCCTTTCCTCTCCCTTCCTGTTGCGTGCGTAAGTTCACTATTGTTCTGTACACAGAACCTGTTTCTTTCTTGATGTTCCAGTTGCCGTGGCCGTCGCCTATTCTACTTTCGAAATCGGTCAGTTGCAATTTTCGATGGTCGATGGTAACCAAGCCTTTAGTCGTGATAGATGTAATAAGGCTAATAATACTTTTTTGAAAGGGCCAGGGTCACCTGTTATTTATGTATCAGTTAAGCGAGACAGTTTGCAAATTTATGTACTTAAATATTTTCAGAATTTTAGTGGGTCGATGTGGTAGTGTAGTGGTAAGGGAGAGAGATTAGGATACTAAAGGCCCGGGGTTCGAGGTCCGGGTTCGACCCTGGGTTGCGATCTTCTTCCTAAAATAGAAACGCTCTCAATAACAAGTCAAACGTTTAAGAGGGAAATTTGGGTCATCGTCGTTGTAGCTATGGGTACGGCAAAACGGGTAGCAAAAAGCATGCAACTTGTCTTGCAACATTGCTGTAAAACGAGTTGAACAGCGATGTTGCGCGTTTTACCGCCCACATCAAAACTGTCTTGTAATAAAACACATTGTTAACAGGTTTGAACGTGGGTAAAACGCGCAACAACGCTTTTCAACTTTCTGCAGCAATTTTGCAAAACAAGCTGCACGTTTTTGTTGACCGTTTTACCGAAGCGTTAAGGTCCCTAATAGCAATGGCAGGGGCTCCAACTTCAGAAAGATCACATCTCTTAATAGAAAGTTAAAATATCCGGCGACCAACATTTAATGCTATTAGGTCGGTGTAACGTACATTCGATAGCCAAATTATCTCGAAATACTGTACACAATAAAATAAAATCTGTATTAGAAGCAAGAAATAAAAACGGTGAATATACCTACTGAGACGAGCTCGAAGCGTTACTCTTCGCAATTACACTACATTAACTTCGTTGTGTTCCTATTTACAATCTGACTCTAATGTACTAAAATCACTTTAAAATTATAATTACAATTCGAAAGTCGCACTACCTTTAAAATGTATTGGTGTATAACCTGGGCAATACAATTCGATTAATTTATTGGGTAATACCATACTCAAACTACACTTAAAATGCGCAAGCGTGTAGTGTGAACAGAGCTAGCCAGCGTAGCTGGCGCAATTGTTTTTGCGCGTGTGAGAGTTTTGGCGGCGAAGGCGCGAGAAAATTCAAAGCGTCTCCATCCAATCTCTGGGCGGCTTCGCAGTTCCTATGCCAAAACTTTGCTCGCGTTAAATAACAATCCCGTCAGCTACGCAGGCTAGAACAGAGCCGGGAAAACTCCTATTACAGATCTCTATGGACCTGTTGATAATCAGTAGAGTTGTCAGTGTTAAGGCCTATTTATACTGGTTAACCGGGTATGAGCTGAGCCAGCCTAGTAAAGCGGGCCAGCCCGGTTATTCATATAAACTGACCCTTAATTGACAATCTAATTAAAATTCGTTCCTGTAGAGGAAACCAACAGTCTTTCGCGGACGTTTTAAATTGGCAGCTTAATCCTTCACTTTAGTCACTTGTTTCATACAAAAAGGCGTTTCTTGCCATGATTCCCCCAATTAGCCTACTAACACTATTATTATGGAATTACAGAGACTAGCTTTCTATATGTTGTTAACTATGCTGGACTAATACCTATTTTCATTGTAGTACCCGACCCTTTGATGACTGTACAGGTACATTGTACATACACCTCATGACAGGACAGCCTACAAATCTAACACACCAGCCACCATTCTGCGGCTAACATACTATTGTTATGAAGCAGGCCTGTGACGTCAAAACTATGTGTAACATTAATCCTTCTTCCATTTCCATGATGCAGTTGTTCTGCTCCAGTAATATCAACATGCAATTCCTTTGAATGACTGCCACGTTAAAAACTACCACAATTAAATGAGCACCATACGAGTGGATATGGCATTTTCTCATCATAGCTTCTCGGTTGCATCAAAGCGTGGACACGAGATAAAAAAATGTTCTATTAGGGTCCCAGACATGACGTGTTTTGCCGCAAAACATTTGAAGTTTGACAGCCATTAAAGGAAACCGACGCACCAAAGGTAAACTGTGTATATTTTTTAGATCAGCACATTCCACTCATATTCCATTTTTCTCAACTTTCAGGCATATTTCTTGCTCAGAAACAGCACACTTGCCTCCAGAAATTATTATTAGCGTCTACAAATTCTTGCAAAGAATATTTTGTTGAGCAAAAACAAATCAAGTTGACAACAGCCGCCTACTCCAAACTTCGAATGTTTGGCGGCAAAACATGTCATGTTTTTTTCTCACGTGTACACGCTTAGATGCAACCAGCGGTAATAAAAATAATTATTGTAGTCTGTCCAGCCTTTGCAAGAAGCCTGTAGAAGATTAGTCTTCTTGTATCTTAATGAATTATTTTGTTATTTAACAATCAACTCTCTGGTAGACACAATTGGTACCAGAAATTTAACTGTCCATCTTTGCAACTAGTTCACATTTTATAGAGGTGCCAATTAAGCCGTTCACTGCTTAAAAATGTCATAATTTATCACTCTAAATTTTGAAGCTCTGTAGACAAAATCTTACAGTGTTAGTTTTGAAATGAGTGCTATAGTTTTTATTTCTTAGATTTTCACCAAAAGAAATGGGATTTTTTTGTGAATTCTTTCCTGGACCACTGTTAAGAGAGTTGACTGTTTCATTAAATGCATGATTCTAATTGTTTAATGACAGGTTCTATCACCACTCTACAATACCTACAACATAAGTTTTTGTCCCAGAATGAATATGATGGGAGAGCTTTACAATGTAACTGTACATCAGCTATTGAATACTAACATACGGCACAGTCAGCAGTTAGAAGCAAATTAGATCACCCAAAATAAAAATCTAACCCTAGTATTAAAACATTAAATTTATAGACACTCTTAGCTATTAGTCTAACTTACTTTTCCATATACAGCATGGATAATCAATTATATGTGACCACAATATTCTTCATGACATTGATGAGCAATGAGCAGATGGGGAACCCATTTGAGTTAAGACTTTATCTAACCACTGAAGAGGGCCATTAAGGTGGAGCTCAATCCAACAGGGCGTGCTTGTGACAGTTTGTCTGCGATATTCCGCACCCCAGCCTTTGACAAAAGACATCCTGATTGTGCACATACGAGTTAATGCATATACTGCTTCAAAACCTTGATTGACAGATTGCGATAATAACTGCGCAAATTCTTGGTTATTAAAGATCTTCAGATTGCAACCAGGAGGAATCTTACAAACAGTGGCAGGATGCCAGCCATATCGTTGATTGCAGTTGGGACTTTGAACGAATATACTACTGTCACTTAAACACTCTGCGAAGACTTCCCCACCAATGTAATAAAGACGTACACCTTTTCCAATGTGTTTCCGTGTCAACTCAACCTGAGGGTTTCGATTAATGTTTGACAACAATCCAAGGCAAAACCTGTCCGCACTTGAAGGATCAGTAAAGCCATCAACTGTTAGACTTGGCGTGGCTGCATTAAAAATTTCACCAACTCTTGTATTCATCTCGTAATAGGAAATTTGGCACCAGTAAGTAGGTTCTGTGTACTGAACTGGTTGAGCATCTAACAAAGAGAGCACAAACAGCACTCAAAATCACATACACATAGCAACAGAACTTACACATCTGTGGCCTGAGTCGTTTGTACAATTTGACCTACCGGGTATCACAATAAATGCATTTAAACGCAATTTAAAGGAGTTAACAACTAAGACCACCTAATATGTAAGTGCCTGAGCTCAGCGGTAAATCGATCATGTGATTCACTGGCCCCTGGATACTCCAGGAACCCAATCTCCATTTTAGCAATGCATTTGTTAACAGGCACTTAACAGGCCTCTTTTTATTTGCCTCTTTAATTTGTTTTCTCTTTTTAATCATTTCAATAGTCATACCTGCCAACGACGGATCTGGAGATAGAGGACAAGCATCTGCAAGGAAAATAAGAATAAAATAAGAACAGTACTTCACTTTTTAAGCAACATTCTCAATATCGTTACGTCATTGGATCTTTAAGTCCCTAGTGTAAGCTTCACTCCCTCACATACCTCACAACTACCTTGAATGCCAGTACATGTACCTACTTAACAGAATAATATATGTTTCGAGGTTCAAACTAACAACTAATAGCTGACCTGTCTGCATCTGCTGATGTTCTCCAGACAGTTCAGAGCACTGATCTTCAGACATGTATCCACCTGCCCCATTTGGAGTATCTTCACATAAATAAAAAGAATATGAGACACCTTTGAGTGATATATTATACCAATTACTTGATAACTCTCAGAATCGACAGGTCATGAAAACAATATTATAAAATGAGTTAAAGGAGCTGTGTCAAGAAATTTATCGAAATACAAGACTTGTACCACAATACACATGTACATCAGTGTAACATAGGGTACTTTTATGAAAATGAGTAAAATATTCCCAAACCATCATAACTTGCCAGATATTAAGTAATTAACATCAAAGAAACATATTTGGAAAAATTTTCATGGTATAATTCTTGTCTACAGCTTATTTTAGAAATTACCCAGAATCCTTTTTGGGCGTGGCATCTGACTTTTTGGCTTGCTTAGCATGACTATTATCGCTAAAATACAACAAATGTATTAAGCTAGAAGTGCTTTTTGTCTGCCTCTTTCTTTTTCTTGATCTTTTCTTCCCTCCACATTTATTTGAAAGGCTTTTCTTCTCGGTATTCATCTTGGTATTGTGTAACGCAATCGTGACGTCCACTCTATTTATACCTCACGTTTTCCCGCTTCTTGCCCCTGATTTGTTATAAAAACACCCCCCAGATACTAAGGAGAGGTTACACAGGACTCCTTTGCTGTTTCTTGTGGATTTCGGCTGGAAAATGGCTTGAATTCAAGTTTCATTTGGGAAGTTTTCTGCTGGGAGTGTGGTGGTAATTCGATCGTTACGCTTAGACAAACATGGCATTCAACTGGAAATATGTTTCTGATTCACCATTTGTAGAATTTCTTCGTTTTAAGCCTACTGAAGACTAAAAACCTTACCAGGATTTGAAGACCAGTAACTGAACTGTGTTGCAGCTGTGTATCAGTGAGCGTTGTTAACTAGAGGCTGAGATACAGGTTTTCTTTTGGGTAAGTAATATTTAATTTCACACATCAAAAGTACACAACAGTTTAGTTTCCGAACACGAAAATTCTTTATTTCTTCATCACCGTGAGTAATCTTTAAAAACCTTTCTTACTCGATGGTAAACAATGTTATGAACTTTAATCAGACGAATTATCTTCTTTTGTAGGTGCGGTTGGAAGTCGCTAGCCATGTATTTGTAAGGCATGGAGCGCTGTTGGACCTTGAGCGTTACACAGGCACTTAATGGCAACCGTCCCTAGAATTATAATTCTCGTTATTTGAAAAATAAATGCAGAGAACTGTAATTTTGCGTATGGTGTCGTTTTTTCCTATTTAATATTTCTGATCTGTTGAATTTTCTTAATGAGATAGTGTTAAGGGTGAAATTTTACTTTTTTAACTATTTCATGCAAATTAGCTGTTACGCATTACATGATGATTTTGTAACTATTTTCTTTCATCTTCAAGATTTTTTTGTTCCTAGGTTCTTCCAAATGATATTTTTTTACTTGGGCGGAGCGCGAAGTAAAGGATTCGCGACGCTCAGGAATGTATCAAAGTTGCAATTTTTTGACTAGATTGGGCAAGCAAAGTCTGTAGGTTTTCGGCTCTATTCGGCTATTTGTCGAAGTGAGAGCCGAATTAGTTCGAGATATCTCGAGATCACTTCGATTTCTTTGATTTATTCTTAAACTTTTTCGAGGAAGAAAGAATTATTATTTTGGCCTTCCCGGGGTTTGAACCGACTCACCTGTGTGACCCGTCAGATCAGAGGAGACTCTAAGTTGAGGGATTAGCCGATTGCGCTACTGCGACCCAAGGTAGTTTGGGATATGAAAAATAGTTATGAAATGATGCACTAGTTGCGGGACAAGATTGGGCGTGCAAGTTCGTGACTTTTCGGCTTGTTTCAACTATTTCACGAAATGAGATCGGACTACTTCGTGATATCTTGAGATCACTTCGAGTTTAGTCTTAAATTACTCGAGGAATAAATAGAGGATATTTCGTGGCCGCGCAGCGACACGAAGTTTCTCTTCGAGTGTTGAAAAACATTTCCAAGTGAGCCCTCCTTTCGAACTGTTTTATGATGAATTTAAAGTTACAAAATGCTGCACAAAGACATTTTGTCTTTGTTGAGTGTTACGTAGTAAAATTGCTTTCATGTGTTGCGTGACTTTCTTCGCATTAGCCATGAATAATTAATTAGGGCATGTTTACATTTCAGCATGAGTCAGCAGATTTGCATTAGTTACTGAAATCATAAAATATGTCGAAAAGCTGCTACTATTCGCCTGCTTAGTATTTTCTAGAACCTTATGTCAAACGGTATACAAGTTCCAAGGGAGTTCTTTTGACGAACTAAGTTTTTTCCCACGAGCTGGACTGCTGTGTTTAGTCAAGTGTGACGAAGGTCGATTATTCAGGTTCTGTGTTTACAAGTTCGCGGAAGCCGTAAGATATCTGAAGTTCAAGTGAGAGTTTGTTATTATTGGTAGAGGCTGTTTAGTTTTACTCAAAGTTCAAGTCAAGTTTGTGTTGACGGATGCTGTGTTTTAAAGCTCTGTAAAGGCTATGTTCCTTTGGTGTTAAACTTCCTTGTGTTAATCCGACATCCCTGCGTGCTGATAGTCAGTGAATAATTATTCTCAAAACATTCGAACTCGTGACTTTGAGTTTTAGCCAATTCCATTTTCAACGTAATTGAATCCTTACCCATGCCTTACATATCTTTAATCAGTACATGAGACTGCTATGCTGTTTTTGAAGCCTGATGTGACTAAGAAAAATAGAGAATTGTTTTTTAGAAGGATTTGTATGGAGTCATCAGAGCATAACTGGGCTAATATCACGGAGACAATTTGTCCTGAAATGCTAGTTTTTGGCAATTAGGCCTCTTGGATGTTGCTCTTTTCAGAATATCCTGACAAATCCAATAATTTCACACCTTACTCTTACCATATTTGATTTCTTACTATTCCTCCGCATTTAAAATTAATTAGTTCCACAACCACGACGCCGAAGTGTACGCTAGCTCCGTAGCGTCTTGTTAACATATCAATTAACTACAATCCTTGTTGAAGTAAGGTAGAAAGTTTAAACGAAATCCGTCATTAGCTTGCAAAGATATAGGAAAATATATTGGAGCAACCACTAATGTACATGTGTATTGTGCTACAAGTCCAAACAGTCAGAACTACTGACCTAACTGTGTGAAACATAAAAACAATACATCAAAACATTGCCAGAAGGAATATATAACCCAGCAAATTATACAAAAGGCAGCACAGATGGACAAACTTGGTAAAGATTGAACTGGACTGCAATTAGTCATTTTTTAGCCTAACATTTTTTCAAAATCGTTTTTGTTGATTCTAATGTTTGATATAATGTTTAAGATGAAGGCAGGAAGCTGTGCATTTTTTCATTTATAAGTAATTTCTGAAGTTCCATAGTGAATAAGGACACCTAATTTGCATTAAAAACAAATGAACTAGCCAGCTGCAACACGGCCTCTCTGAACAGTATTCCCTTTCATTTCGATGATCAGTAAGAAATAGTAGTCCTACAAAAGTGTTCCCAGTGTCCTCCTTACATGTATTTATTATTTCTACAATTTTTTAACCTCAATTATGTACACAATTTCAAGCAATGTACTAATGAAGCAAGCAAACTGAATTCCTCTGGAAAAATGGACCTGAGCTTGTGATCAATTAAAAAACCTAAAAAATGGTCAGTGGAAAACTTAAAAAAAAAAACAGGTCAACTCAATGAGTTGTACACCTATGCCCATGATACACTCATGTGCCACTGGTCAGAAGTCCCTCCCCAAAACATTTTGCCTAAGCATTGTTTCCAATTTCTCTTGGGGTGGCTGTAATACCCAGGAGAAATGAATGCAAAATTTTAGGGGGCAAAAAAGGTGCCTTATGGGAGATGTGCAAGTAACGTATAGCAAGTTAAACACGGATTGTACATGCCTTAGACTCTGAGCACATTCCACATCCACTAACATAAAAAGGTGGACAAATGGACAGATGTCACAACCAAAAGTTATAGGATGTATGGATAACCATTATTTCTTACCATTGGTGCTCCACTGAGTGCACTTCGCACACAGAAGAGCACTACTAAAATAAAATTACCACTATAGGGAGGATTTTACCTACCAGGCAGCTGGAAAGGAGAATTGGTTGGTTCTGAAATGGGAAAGGGAGTGTTGTCTGGTCTGAAGACGTCTGGTAATGCTGGTCTTTCTATGGCTCTATCAATTGGCACTCGTGGAACAAGAACTGGCGGAAGAACTGAAAAAAAAATTTTAATTTTACAATTCTCACAAATACATGTACAGAATGTATGTCCAGGGCTTATGAGGACTTCTAAAGGAGCTTAAAAATCAGGGCAAGAGATATTTGGGGGCTTTAGCAATGACGATGGTGATTGCTACAAACATGTCTCCTGGCAGCTTTTCATGAACAAATCAGGTTATTTTCAAGATAACAAGGCCTGTGATCATGATCATTTACATGTGAAAAACAGGAAGCTTTGAGATAAAATGAGGTTACATGTACCGCCAGCCTCGCTTTCTATTCAAAGGCCAAGGTACTGGGCACAAGGTACAAAGGCCTATTATATAAGCAACTGTAAGCAACCATTACCCATAAACACAAATCAGCATAATCACATATGCATTTACTTAAACACTTCTGTAGTTACCCTTTCATGTCTTTAAAGGAAAGTTCAGGAGAATGGGCTTCAAAGATTTAATTCAAATAAATGGTTCAATTTTTTTGCCATTCCTTAGGTGATGATGCCTTAACGACCCAGTAAATATTATTTTGATATTCATTTAGTCTAGTTCTGGGTGGCTCAAAACAAGAACCATCCAGACTGTCAGCTAATAACACGGCTGCAGTCCAAGAGGATTTCTTCTTATCTATTTTGAGGACTGACTGGGTGCCAGAGAAGGCAACGAAGTCAATCTCTAACTTGAGATAACCTGTAGTCTGTATACATTTGTGTTTTCCTGAATGTACATAAGGAAATCTCCTGTACATAAACGTAAACAATTAACTAATTGGATTTCAATATAACTTTCTATATTTCAGACATCATCTAAAAATAATACAAGCTCAAGGTCTCCTTTGAAGTGACCTTTCGCAGTAGTAAACATCTATTCGCATCTTAGTATGGAGAAAAACTTAGCAATAACATCATTTACAGCTAAGAAAATAAGCAGTTAGTCTTAAATAAGATTAAATAGGCTCATTTGGGTACTTAACTGTCCTAAAAATATCACTCAATACCCACTGGTTGAGATAAATGACTTAATTTTCTTATGTTACATTTATTTGGCATTTAAGTGTCCCCTTTGATGTTTGCACAGAAACCTACATTGCAACCCATTCAATTCTAGAATGGACCCAAAACACGTAAAATACTATTAATTTAAAAATAAATACTTCTAAAATACATGTACAGTGTGGACCATGTGAAAGTACATGAAATGCTGCTAAATTCTTAGGCACAACTGCATCACATCTCCACTGTAAACTTTAGGACTTCAGGACAGATTTAAAAATCAAAACCTGCTTGGTAGAAAGAGTCATTTTTTAATCTGTTAAGTTCATAACCGAAAGTGGTGACAAAGTGATTCAAAGGTTCATGCTTTGGGCATTTAAAACCTTCATCAGAGAGAAACAATTCACTCCTGCACTGACACAGAACCACAGCTTCTTTAAACTAACTGTTTATTCACCAACTGCTCTACATGCATGTAGAGTACTTGTGTTGCAATCAATATGTTCACTAGACATAAATGTTTATGCAGGCTATGTCTATCATGGGCTTACTTTAATAACAACTTAAAGCCCTGAATTTAAACTTCTTTTAGAATCTCTTAAAGGGATCAACATCAAATTTCTTCTAGTTTACTTTTTAAATATACTTATGCTTTATCATTCAGACACTTAGGTCATGAATTAAGAGTACAAATAACCAAGATGAATTTAATAAGAGTTAAGCTCACTTGTTATTATTGCTATTATTATTATTATTATTATTATTATTATTATTATTATTATTATTATTTAATACAATGTAAGCATCCAGCTATCTTTCCCTAGAGACGAATGCCAGAAACATATGTAGACCATGCAGTACGAAACAATTTGAAAACACTGATAGACTGCGATCTTACTGTTGGCAAGCATTAGCAAAGCAGCATACATGTACTGTTCTATAACATTAACTAGCGTTTTATTTTCCAACACTCTCACTTGCACTCATTGTTTAATGGAGGTATGGGAGCATTGATCGAGTGCCGAGCAGAAGGTGCAAGCCTTCTAATGAGAGAGTTTGACCTCAATTTTTAAGTGATTAGGGTAGGGTGGGAGGGATACTGCCATCTTCTCTGGGGACACTTGATCAAGTTTGAAGGGTAGAATGCAGCTTGAAATTCATCTTTTTAAACTTTATTCCAAACCCCTGGAGAGAACACCAATCTCACAGGATTGGGTTAGCCTAGATTGGGTGTGAATACCTCTATGATGTTAACAGGGGGGCGGGGGGCTTAATGGGGGGGGGGGGGCATTAAAAAAGTTCTCCCCCAAAAAGGGGGGGGGGCTAAAATTAAATTATTGTAAATTAATAACACAAAGGTAGATATTTTCTGTACTATGAGTTACTACACAGCAATTGGTAGTGAGTTATTATCACAGAAAATGTGGAGTACAGAGGTTAGGTACAGAGTTACCGCGTTTTTGGGAGTGGGGTGGGGAGGATTTTGGGGGGGGGGGGCTTATTAAATTTCTTCCCCTAAAAAGGGAGCGGGCTTATTATTAATTATTATTAATTAATAGAGGATATACGGTATTTTTAACTACATTTTACTTTACTTTTAGTAGGTTTGACCATACAACACCTAAATGAGATATTGAACTGAACCCTACAACACAGCTTTATAATTAAACAACATTTTTTGGTCTTACTCCTGTACAAAGCAGAAATCACATCACACCACATTTGGCCTCTCTGCCACAGTTTAGGAAAAACAAAATAACTCTGAATGTCAATTGACAGAGAACATGTGAAAAAAAAAACATCATAGACCACAAGTTAAACTACTACAATAACAAATTGTACTGCAGTGATAAAAAATTGTAAGACCACTTCAACAGGGTTGCAACTGTTATTTTACTAATGTGATAATCAGAATAAGTGCTTTGAGAATGTGTAAATCGAAAAAAAATCTCTCAACACCTTACACAGGAAAAGTGGATTTCAAGGTGCAAAAAACCACCAAAGTTAAATTTTCCAAAATCATCCAATCCACTTTTAAAGAGATGATAATGGAATTGTCATTTTATAACCTTGAATATGACAAACGTGAACATTGCATATCAATTCTAGGAACTTCTTTTTCTTGTTGACAACTATACGACTGTTCCAAAATTTTTGACACCAGAGGACAGGCCCCTCCCAATTAACACTACCTGTAAATCTAGGAAATGGTTGCTTTTTTCAGCTTATTACTGGCAACAGACAAAAACAAAACATACACCAACTCATGACCTGTCTAAAGCAAAGCATCAACATTTCATTCTTCCCATCAAACGAACAGAAATAAGACACAGAGCTTTAGCAGTAAAAACAAAAACACCAGAAGAGATAGAACAAAGAAACAAAGAGAAAATACACTCAGAGATCTCAAATTATGATATGCTTGCATTCCACTAAAATAAGGATGGATCCTACAGAGTTACTGAATGTGACTTTTTCCAGAATATACAACTGGAAACAGAGTTTGAGAGTAAAATGTCTTTTACAGATATACTGAGTAGGCTCAAATGAAAACAAAAATATTGAATTCTGTAATTACGGCATTAATCCTAAGGCTTTAAATAGACTTCCTGTCAATATAAAAACCAACAATTAAAATTCAAATGTTGCTACAGTTTTGATGGAAAAAAATAAATTAGTTAAACTAAGTGGCCTATACAAACTTAACTACCACTGAAAGATCTAAAGAAGAATTTCCCTTTCCTCGATAAAGACATCAAATATGATTGATGTGATCCGCACTTGGTCAAAAATGTTTATATCAGATAACAAAAATCTCCTGTTTTGGAACGCAAGGAAACTCCCTTCCGGAGTTCGATATAAGCCAAAATCTTTTGTATTTTATTTCCCCTATATTGTTTTCACAAGGACAACACACGTACATGTAGAGAAATAATCTCAGTGTTACATGCGAAAAAAGCTAGGTATTAGCTAGATTGGTGTTTAAAATAATAAACTATTTTACATGTACGCGCAATGGATGAAATGTAGTGGGCATGAATTAAGGAACGCGCAAAAAGACAAAATAGCAATTTTCAGAGAGAAATACTTAGATAACAAAAGACGCCAATACTGTGATCTCTGCCAAGCAATTTATGAACTGAAAACATCCCAGTATTCGAAGTGTTGCTTTCCGCGGATTAAAATACCTCATGGAAGTGAGCACATCAAAAAAACACGCCGAGGTCGTGGTCAAACACATTGCAATACTTCCATCGCCAGGCAAGTCAAGCTTATAATAAAATTTTCAACGACCTTTAAATCAATATAAAACTCTACTGAAACAATATGTCATTGAAGAATCCCGTCAAACGGTTGCTGAAAGTACTTGAAAGTTCGCTTAGCGTGATCCCACGCTAACATAAACACACAAACTCAAATGTCAAATACACAATTTACTAAATCTGCATACAACTGAAGGAAACAAAAGATGACAAGCACCATCCTACAACGTATAAAAACTTTAATACGGATCGAAATAAGACGCGAGTGAGTCGAAGGCAAAGACGATTAAAACACTGTATGAATTCAAAATCATGTTATTTAAGATCCAACGAGTACATCTAACTTGCTTTCGTAAAATATGAAACAGTTAATTTTTTGTTTTCTCTACAACTTCTTTGCTACTTTAAGAAAAGTGGCGATCAGAAAGCACTAGCAAAACTACGCCTAAAAACCCTTCTCGTGATATGTAGAAAACATACAGGTTAATGTAAGAGTTACGACGTCAAAAATCTAAGCATCTGTTTTGAAATGGAAATTTCGGCTGATCAGATCGGATCAAATCCTAGATCTAATAAGCAACAACTGAATATCGAAGGTCAGAAAATATACGCCTGTACAACGAAATTCCATTTGGAAAATATTCCGGAATGGTACACGATCTCTTTTGGAAATCCTTTGCAGGTTCTTGCACACGTTTGGTTAATGAAATAAAAAAAATGAGAACACTTTTACTAAATTCATAGAAATTAAACGAAAGATGATTCGAGTAGAAACTTAACCTCAAAAGGATTGTGTTTCCTTTATAGTACGTAAAATATTCGTTCCACCAAGGTTTGGTAATTATCAAACACATGTGAGCAGAGCAAGAGAGCTACAAGAAATATGTAAGCTTATTTCTCTTCACAACTTAGGCATTACAACGTTGTCGGCGATTATGTTCGCTTGTCATCCCAGCTATTTCGATATAGACAAAGTATAACTTTGGCGTAAGTGAAATATACAAACGGTTTGACACCGACAACGATCTGCCAACACACGAGCAGTGTACAAATTAATGTTACACGCGCCGAGACCAAAACAAAACGAGATCGACTAATTGGGACGCCGAGCGAACACAAAAGCAAACCCTTCCTTTACTAGCAAGGCTTTTTTTGCGTAAAGAAATTACAAGAATACTTTTGGTTAAGTTACCTGGCGTCTCGACTCGCTGATAGTGGAAAGGATTCACACAAACTTCGTCTTTCTTCAAGCTGAAAGCATAATCGCAAGATTCGATCGGTCGTAGCTCGTGATGGCTTTGTAAGTCTGGCCAACGCCATAATCTACAGTAAATCACATGTGGAAGGCCTTTACGGTGCGAAACTTGCAAACGGCCGTCCAAGCTGCGAGGGATTGTCACACATTTTGTAGGTATTCCCGGGTTTGTACTTCCCTGGGTGATCGCTCTTTCTAGCTCCTCGAGGCCTCCGGTCTTCTTCAACTTCTTCACTAAACTCTTGACGGCCTTTTCGGCCCATTTGTCATCGTCATTTTGGTCCGTACTTCTTTTCCAGCCCAGCAACCGCTTCACTATAGGCGGTGTAAAGGGTAGAAGTGTAGTCATTTTATAACTACAACTTCCAACTTCGCCTCCCCTTTCGAGTGACAAAAAAACGCTCTATCTTTCCACTCTGCGAAGTTAGCTATCCTTCGCTCATTGCACCAGGGATCGAGTCCATTTTGACTGACAGCTGAGGCAAGCAAGGAGTATACTAGCCAATAAGACTTCGCTATTTATTTACGTCACACTCTATTGACATTGACACAAAGCTTATGTATCCTTGTCGGTTGATATCACGTGACGCAAGCATTTTTATAGAACAAGCGACGAAAAAAGCCCAAAAAACCTGCTTGCTTAATTAGTATCAACAAACTTCCGCCTACTAAAATAAGAGAATTGAATATTTAAATCGATGTACGTTTAGTTTTAGAGACCTCCTGGATAACCTTGATAACCTGTGGGTAGAAAGGACACAAATTTTCAATTCAACAGACAAAGACTCGCAAAAAAAGATATTACACAACCAACTGAACCGAAAAGCCATGTAGCTTGCATGCCAGTGTGAGTATGAAATCAAAACTTGATTAAGATATATTACAGCATCATTTAGAATTTCAGTAGAAATAGATTAAAATAGTAGGATGGAAACGTAACTTGATAGTTTAGAATGAATTGATTCGCCTTTGATTAAAATTTTAATTAGTAGCAAACTAATACTGGAGACGTTAATTGGAAATCTCATTAGAACTTGATAAGATCTCCGGTACTTAAACCTGATAGGACCACGAAGAGGGAGCTGAAGCAACGATGACGGCAACGGGTACGAAACCGTCACTTAAAAAGTGAATTCGCGCTGCTTTAAACCGTATTGCGCTTATTCCACCTCGCTCAGTTCGTTAAATGTTGGCAATTTTTTCTGGAGTTGAATTCTAAAGACTGTATCAAAGTTCAGGAATAGAAAAAGAAAGTCATTGTCTTGTGTCCACGTTCTCAACAAAACGTGAAATTAGGTATTTTTACGTCGTAGTCTTGCAGTGACGGAAAAGAAAAAACGCGTGATGCACGTGCTAAGTTGTTGTTTTGCCACTCTAAACCTCTTAGACAGGCTGTTAAAAGAGGGGATTTGTGCGTTTTATGATAAAAGAACCTAAGTGCACCTATTTTAAAGTGTACCTATTAAAATAGGCCTCTGTGTACTTAAGAATTTTTGATATAGAGGCACCGCTGAAAAGTCATGTAACAGGAATAAATCAGTTAAAAAAGAAAAATGTTGACGTCAGCATTTTTCTGGGTAAATTTTTTACAAGTAATATAGCCTGTTCCAACAAAAGCAATGACGACGGCGAAGGCAAAGAGAACGGCAAATATAACAAACACCAACTTTGCACGTGCATCACGCTATTTTGTACATTTCTTTGCGGTTGGTTGTACACCTACGACATGAAACTTCCTAATTTCACGAGCCCAATTTATTGAGTAGGTAAGGTGAACACAACTCCATAAAATTGTCGCTCTCTTGTTCTTACCTTAGACAACGATAGATACGGTCCCAAGGAAAATTCCGCCAAGATTTGCTAAATTAAATGAAACTGAATAAGATCGGTGAAGTTTGAAATAGTGCGAATAGACTTTTAAGTGACTTTATCGGTTTGTTGTCATTCAAAAAATTTGCTACCATGGCAACATGACGAAACTACTTCTACTCTCTATTTGCTATCAAATACATCGGAAATGTTATATAAGTGAAAGATCCATTAAGAAAAGTTCCATCTTTGTTCGAGCACATGGGAGAGATTTCATCGTGAGATCCCGGGGGTACTCCCTAAAATGGCCTGTACAAGGAGGCTCAGCTCTAAAGGGGTGCTTTTTTCAAGCTCCAGGTATAATAGGGAAATCTATCATTTTTATTTGTAGAAAGTCCCAAACGGGCTAAGGGGCACATTTTATGGCTGTAAAAAAGTGGATAAAACACTCTGGTTTTGTGATGTATTAATAATAGCCACTCTGTTTCCCATATGTTACTTATCCCACTTAGATATGAACGAAGTTGTCTTAGGAAAGCACGTGAGACGCACCTCATTCACAAGGCCAAAACCATCGAGCCTCTGGGAATGAACAAACGTGACGAACTATAATCATTATGTAATCTTTATTTTTTTTTCGGTTACGTTTATTTTTCTTAGCAGCCACACCTTACCACGTCATACCACGTAACTTCCGTTTATTATTTTACAGTGTGTATTCGTGGTTTTTCCTATTATACTGAATAAACCTAATGAAGACTGATATTGGATGGCCAGTCGAAACATTGTATACCTCAGCCTTTTTCACGTTGTTTGATCAGTCTTTGTAGTAGTCTTTTTTACTTTAACTCTATTTTTATGTTTTTCGACTAATCACGATCTTGTTTGATCCAACGTTGAGCTACATTGACGGTTCAGGGTTTTGGCAGTGGTTTTTCAAGCCGTAGTTCACATTTATTCATAATATATTAAAGACAATGGTTTACAGCGGTTAAAAGCGATGCAAAGTTCTAAACTAGGTATATGTATTGGGTACCATTTGCCTATAGATATACTAAAGGGATATTTATTCTGTCAAAAATGGTATATAAAAGAGTAAGGGTCGGAGCGGAGCCTCCCCGTATAATTTTGTTGAGTACCCCTCGGCATGAAGCATACTATTTTACCTGTAAAACTCCTTAAATAGTGGTAACGTACGACATTTTCCGCAAAACTTACTTAAAATAATATTTTTTTTCATTATCACAAAACCTAGAATAATCACTACAGTCAGTGATTTTATTTCTGTCAAATACTCAAGTTTTCTTAAGTCCACAAATGCATTCTCTCCAATTGCTGTGGATCATGCCCGTGAAAAAGAGAATGCTTCTATTAAAGGAGAAGGTGGGACCGTTGGACTTACAGAAAATCCAAGAGCATTACGACACCGGATGATGACATGAGATTGCTAGAACCGTCACCGAACATGAAAAAAAGTCAGCTACGGAGACGAACCAGTCCACTAAGCACAACGAGCAAGTGTTATCAGTCCGAAATGCCTTTTTGAGGAATTTGAATAGTCTAGTCAGTTCAACGGAAGACCTTGAAAATACCCGAAAGGTCTACTGATGCGGGAAGGTGCATTCACCAACTGGAATAGCCTGCGTAGCTGGCGGTATTGTGTGGGTGCGAGATTAAAGTTTTGGCGGCGGAGCCGTGTTCCAAAAAAAGGGAGTAGGGACGAGGCGGTTGAAATACCGCCTGCCAGAAAACCCCGGTATTTTGAATAGTCCGCACACCAGTGTGCGGGGAAACGGATTGGTCGAGGGCCATACATATGTCAATCATGTTAGATGAGCCTTCGCGTTCGACTGCATCACCTCCAACTTCTTGTACTTGAGCCGTTTCAACTTTGTATTAGAGCTCTTCATGGAGAACTGATACGACATCGTCTTTGCTAAATAAATAAGCCCCCCTATCAATAAGCTTCCTGTCTCTATCGAGCTGTCAGCAAACCCACCCTAATACGTTCTTCACTCAAAATTGTTTAATTGAGGGTTTTGTAAAGCATAATGGCAACGAACCCAGAACAAAAGCAGGGCCCGCGAAGCAGTTTTTAAAGTGGGGGCCGGTTTCCACCTCTTTTGCAGAGGGCGGGTGAACGGGAAGGTGGATCATTACGAATTTTATCATTACGAACAGCAAATTTTCTTTCTCCGCCGGCAAGGCAAATTTGTTAGCCTGAGAAAACAGCGGACATTCGGCGACGCTACCACTGGTTTCCCCGCCAAATGACGTCTGAGAAACGAGCGCAGAAATTCCATATACTGATGACGCGTCACTATTCAGATCTGTGTAGCGCTTCTTATTGGTCGTGCCGCGTGCATGGGAAATTTGATTCAACCAATCAGAAGCACTACCCAGCTGGATAGTGACGCGTCATCGGAGGTGAGTAGGGAATTTCTGCGCTCGTTTCTCAGACGTCATTTGGCGGCGAAACAAGTGGTAGCGTTGCCAAATGTCGGCTATTTTCTCAGGCTACAAGTTTGTCTCTTTTCTTTTTGTGGCTGTTTAGAACTGCCAGGTTACTGAACCTTTCACGAGTCATTGTTGAGCGGAGGTATGTTCATAACTTTCAAACCGCTGAAAAGGACGTTTCTCCTGCTGCGCCTCTGATTGGGCATGCACATGCAGAAGTTTGCAGATCATGACCTTCTGAGGTTCCTGTTACTCTCTCATTTTGTCTAGAATGTCATCGAAACATAAACAGCATCCAATATCACAACCATTGATGAAAGCTTTAAATTTCCGGTTAGGCTTTTAATGCGTCAGAGACTACATCATCCAGGGTCACTCAACGATGTTTCCTCTGAAAGTTATTGAAAACACTTTTTAGGCTATCCAGAGTACTTTTAGAAGAAATGAACTCTAAGTGACGCAATAAAATTTGTATCTGGTTGGTCATCGTAAGGGAAATATGAGTCTTTTCGAAATTACAAGGGCCTCAGGATTATTTTCCGGGGGAGGGGGTACTCCCCTATATCACTGTATAGGTATGTGCCCCCCAAAAGGGTAGGGTTTTTGCGCCGTGGCATCTGAAAACGGGTATAGACTTTACAACCTCGCCCCCAGGGGCGCTTTTCCCTGGCTTTTGAGCCTCCAAAGCCATGGGAAAAGCGCCCCTGGGGACTTTGCTCATTTTGGTCTAGAATCGGGTATGGTTTTCAAGGGAATTACGGTAGTGTACGAACGTATTTATTACTTCAATTCCAAATGAGTAAGAAACAAAGAAAGAAAAATATGGAAATTGGAAATGGATTTAATTTCTTTTTTGTTGCTTTTCTAATCTAAGTAATGATGACTTAATTTCTTAAGGGCCAGGTCTGGAATGGGTGAAAAATGATATTTCTTGGTCTGAATTGAAAGAGGGTCAGGATTTGGAGAACCGGGCGACAAACCCCCACCACCAGGAATCCCAGGTGTACCCCCTCTCCCCACCCGAATTATTTCTCGAAAATTTTAGATACAATTTTAAGTTTTACGAAAGTGAGAATTTTTCTG